TATATTAAACCTCTGTTACTTTTGTTTTTTTTATGAATCAGCAAACAAAAAAAACATTAAAAAATAAAAACTAAGCGGATTTATTTTCAACACCTTGCGTTTTTCATTCATCTTTTTAAAAAAATGGCACCCATTGTTCTCCAAATGTGATTAAATTGTTACAGATGGTTAAAATGTTTTCGTTTCTATCAGAGGAAACGGCGAGTTATTTAATTGGAGATAAAACCGATGCACGAGGTTAATGAATAAATAATTAAACTAATTAACAAAAAGCGTGGCTCCATAATTAAACCCTGCAGAACTCCTTTGTTCATTTAAGAGTGATGAGAACACTTCGTAGCAGAGGCTGAGAATTAACTAGTAATGTGTTACTTCAAAAACAGAGCATCAGTGTAAAACAAACATTACATAAAGGAATAAATACAGTACAGACAAATAAAAACATGAGAGGTAGACTTTGAGTTAAGCAGAACAAGTGCTTTAATTGGTTTGAGTGAACGCTTATGGAATGGAGTGTATTATTATCATCATCATCATCATTAAATGTGAAGAACAATAAACATACATCATCATTTTGGCCTCTCTGCCACTGAAAGGGAACTCTCACCAACCATTGTCAGACAGCAATTAAAACACACACACACACACACACACACACACACACACTCTCTCACACACACGCTCAGTAATGGTAAGTCTTTTAGATGTAGTCTAAAAGTACTCGGGACTGTCCTGAGACCAGAGCTCGACTGCAGGAGGGGGTGTTTCCAGGCCTGATGGGACTTTTATTTGTTCTTTTCCAAGAATGTGAGGCCAAAGGAAATGTTCCCCTCTCTGCAGATCTCACTCGGCCTCTGATCATTTGTAACCAATTTTTCCCTTAACACTTGATCAACCACATGAACACAGGGTTGTTGTATCCTAACTTTGGACATGTTCACATATGAGCGATGCACACACGTCGCTCCATCTCCCAGTGCATGTTAAAAAACATAAATTCAGTTCAAACAGACACGTTATACTATACACAATGTTCTTCAAGCTCATGTGGGGGGTAGTTCTGACTGCTGAAAGATGCTTTTGGCAAGTTAACAGTGGCAGCAGGTTGACTGTCGGGTGGAGGAGCTCATTCATGAGAGAAGTCACAAAAGCGAGGGTTACAGCAGCAGGGACGCGTGTTATTATCCTCTTTATTTTGCATCTGGTAAAGTCTGGCATCGCTCTTCCTCACATGAGATCCAGAGTTTATATTCCCAAAATAAAAACAGAAAAAAATCTCACTCTCCCAGCATGCACTGCTCTGTTTTCTACTTGCTGGATGTGACTACAGGGAAGCCTCCAGGGCCAAACGGAGCAAAGCAGACTAGAAGATGATTGTGTTCCCTCATTTCTTTATGACACGACCTATGTACAGTATGAGCTACGTGACAATAGAAACAAAACAGCCCATTAATAGTGAACGAACACGGAGATATCGATTAACCACTGACTCGGGATGAACTATCAGCTGATGACCTCCCTGATAACAAGCGGGTGATCCACGAAAAGCAAGAGAACATAAACCTCTCTGAGAAACGAGGAGCTGTACATCGATGGTGAGTGAAATTATGGACAACTTTAAAAAAAAAAAAAAAAAAAAAGAAAACATCACATTCCTGAAATGTGACCGCATCTGTGGTGAGATGGTGAATAATAATAATAAAAAAAAATGCTGACAGACTCCTGAGGTGGTGGTGGTGGTGGTGGTGGTGGTTTCGGGGGGGCAGCCGCCGTTTAGCGAGGACGAGCACGACAAAACACAATCACATTCCACAATGCACTTCCACACACGCACGCACGTTCTTTATAAAGGCAGGACCAGCGTGGACGAACAAGGGATTAATATCAGCAGACACCGCCTCGCTCTGAGGAGGAGGAGGAGGAGGAGGAGGAGAGGGGACGCCTGTACACACTGACTAATCACAACGATAGATCTGCATTTACAGAATCCAAACCGATCCACCGCGAAATTTTAAGACAGATATTCACGTTTTATGTCGGTTAAAAACACAATCATCAGAATGCTTTCGTTTAACTGACTTGATAACACGAACGAACCTAAACACAGAGGTGTCGGAGTGAGAGAAGGGTCGAAAATAAACTTGGAAAACAATGCATGTCAACGCAAACACCCTATTATTAAAATAACCTTTTACCTTTGTTTTAAAAAAAGATTACAAAATAGAAAATTAAATAATTTCGGAGTATAAAGGCACACATCTTGCACAGTGTATACAATGAAAAACAGTTATTTAAAGCATGGTGGGGGACTATTTAACGCCGAACAGCTCACACGTCTGGTTAAAGTGTGGGGACACGAAGAGAACCTGAACAGCCAACAACACAGACTAGAGAGGGGAAAGGAAACTTAGTCCTGTGACATGCAATTTTTTATTTTTTTTTTTTACTTTTCTTTTTTTAAGTACATCTATAGTAAGTATAAATTCAAGCAGTATCATTCTTCATTTACCACAGCACCATCATTCACTCCCAAGGGTGGCTCCTTTTGATTTTCTTTTTAATACAACTATATTTTCATGACTAAAATCCAATGTAAAAATATAAATGTGAATATATTCTATGATATCTAAACAAACATGTCGTGATGGAAGCTTTTTGCATGGGTTACAATAGTCAAGGAGGACGATTCTTGCTTGTTTTAGTTGGTTATCCAGGAGTGATACACAACGTCACACACACCCACACACACACGACAACTCTTCTCACTTACACACACAAGTAATATTGCATTTCCCTTGTTAAGACCGTATCAACTAATTGGGATCGTATTCGTAACATTTGGTTCCTTTCCTCTTGTGCAAAATATACAAAAAACAAACAAACAAAAAAAAAGAAATATTACCACATCAATTCATAAAACCGCCAAATTCAAACACAGATAAACCACCTTTAAAAAAAATGTCAACAACAACAACAACAACACAACAACGATGAATAACAGACTTGAGGTTAAAGAAGAGAAGGATGCTGTTGGTGTTAATGACTTAACAACATGTATCTTTACATCTGCAGCGACTCTTCCCAACCCGCCCCCGCCCTCCCATTACCCTCCCCCTTTTCACAACCTTTTGAACACTGACACACACACGTCGCTCGCCATCGTTGAGTGTGTGCTGGTACGATGCTGGAGGTAAACAGTCTTCTGCCTGCCCTGAACGCACAAGCACAGTCACACCAATGCCTGGTCCCAAAACCCCACCGATGCAGAGTGCTTCTAAAAAAAGGATCGGAGAGGTTTGTTTACAAAAGCCCTGAAAGCAGAGCTAATATTGCAGTAAAGTCCTCCTGACCGGTCCCGACAGTAAGACGCACCCATAGGTGAGGTGAGGATCTGGGATCAGGCCCCTAAAGATTCAAACCTAAGAGAGCAGAGTTCCTTTTCCTCTTTGTTGCAGCGCATGTAACAGAACAAGAGCTCCTAACCTCTGATAACAAATAAAAGTGCAACATTTTTTTTTTTGATTTACTCATAAGGTGCTGATGGCAACAGAAAGTTAAGGGCTGTTGAAGTTTCGATCTGACACCCTACAGTATATGAAGATACAACGAGGAGTAATGTAATCACCACAGCCACACGGGACTTCTGGGTCATTCCCTGCCACAGGAACAGAAACCAATGCCCAACGTATTCAGAGGGAATGAAAGTAAACGACACTTCCTGTGTGCTAAAATCCCTCCTCCTCTTCTCATTTTAAGGTACATATCCTTCCCTTAATCTTTTCTCAGTCACTGTGCATCACGACAAAGCCAAAGGGACGAAGCACTGACAACCACTGAGGTGCAACTGGAATCAAGCAACGTAATTTACTGCAATTGTCTGTCTCGAGTGTGTGGCGAGAGGATAACCCAGAAGCTCAATTTAACTGTACACGCACAAACAGGTGGGAATGGGGTGGCGTCTATAGGGTGCGTGATGCAGAAGGGAACCCAAATAGGAAGTTTGGCTGAGTACTTGTATAGCATTTGGGTGAGGGGCGGGGGTGTCTGGCTGTTGGCCTATTGGAAGACTGCTTCCCACTTCCTGGAATGAAGCAATTGCATTAGGTGAGGCTCAACATGAACTTCCTCCTTACATCCCGCTAAAGCCTTCTGTTTGCAAGAAGGACCTCACCTTGTGCCGTAACATGACCTCCGCACTCCCCCTGACCTCACACTATACGCTGACGATACCCTCCCCTACAGTACCTCCCCATGAATGTCATAAGGGGAAGACAAATACAAACATCAAAATAAAAAAAATGCAGGGTGCTGGATGTTGTATTAGAGGCAATAAAAAAAGCTGTATTCCCACATAAACAACCATACAGAAAAACAAACACAAATAATATAAAAAATGTAATGACTTGGACGCTTGCTTTCAACACCCTTATCATCCAAAGTAACACAAAAACAAGAGTCAACAGAGGAGAGGTTAAATGTAAACGAATGATGGGGGTTTTTTTTGTTTGTTTTTTGTTTGTTTTTAGCTGCAGAGCGTGGCACACCGCTGAAAGAGAGAGAAACAAACAGGGAGGGATGAGGAGAATGCATGAGGGAGAGTGATACAAATCCATCACAGCACCTTATTAATTCAGCCTCTCGATGGGTTTTTTCTCTCCGTCACTTCTCTTCCCCGCCCTGCTCCCCACTTGCCCCTCCCCTTCCCATGTGCCTCCGTGCCCTCCCGTCGCTCCTGGAGGCTATGACAGGATAGTGGTGATGAAATCGTAAAACCTCTTGGAGTACTGCTCTGGGTTCACCGTGGAGATCTCCGCTCCGGCCTGTAGAGGGACACAGAGACGACTGTTACTCACCACTGCACATTATTTGTTATACTTGTCATTACTGTTTTTTTTTTGACAGAACCATTAGAAAGCTCTCATATGCAGCTACATACCCCATGTTTGACAGTCTTGGCGGCGTGAGCAGCTTTCTTCTTGGCATCGTAATGCTGCAGGATGTCTATGACAGCCATGAAGTAAACCTCCTTCCTGGGAGCACCTGTAGTTTAAAACAAATGCACTCTGGATTAGAATCTGTATATCTGCACAGCGTCGTCTGGCAAAATCAGGTGCTGATGCTGGTCATTATTGGACCTGCACTTGTATGGCACCTTTCTAGTGTTTCAACCACTCATAGTGCTTTTTACACGAGTCACATTCACCCATTCACATACACATTCATACTCTGGTGGCTGAGGTTACCATATAAGGTGCCACAACACTGGACAATTGAACAGCCATCAGGAGTAATTTGAGATTCAGTATCTTGCTCAAGGATACAAACTGAGGTGACATGCTGACTGCAGGAGCCGGGGATTGAACCGCTGATCTTCCCATCGATCAACGACCTGCTCTACCTCCTGAGCCACAGCCTCCCCATACACTAGAAACCTTTGTTAAGTCTATAAAGAGCCTCTCATCTAAAGACAATGTCAGTTTTTAGTCACACCCTATCATATTTTGCAAAGACTGGGGATCTTGCACGGTGACTATCTGCAAGACTACAAACAGATTCCTTCTTAAATCATTTTTCATCCTGGTCCCGATAAAAAATATTACGCCAAACTCCCTTCAAGAAATTCTGACAATTCCTTGCATGTCTGTGAAAACACATAACTCTGGAAACAGAAGACAGAAGGTGTCATATGTCAGCAGCATTTTAGTCAATTTGGCATCATCATAAAAGGATAAACTGTATTTGTGTACAAACTTTACATTTTGGATTTTGTCACCTCAGTTTGCTATCAGCCTCCATTGGGTTGCTACACTAAGAAAAAAAAGTCTCAAAAATTAAGATTTCTCATTAAAATAAGTGCTGACTGGTGGATAGTGCAGTGTTTAGCATTTAGCAAAAAATTCCTGGTTTGAACACAGGGTGTGGGAACCCTTCTGTGTGGAGTTTGCATGTTCTCCCGGTGTCAGCGTGGGTTTTCTCTGGGTACTCCAGCTTCTTCCCACAGTCCAAAGACATGCAGGTTATATTGGTGACTAAATCACCAATGGGTGTGAATGTGAGCATGAATGGTTGTCTGTCTCTATGTGTCAGCCCTGTGATAGTCTGGTGACCTGTCCAGGGTGTACCCTGCCTCTCACCCAATGTCAGCTGGGATAGGCTCCAGCTCCCTAGCGACCCCTAACAGGATAAGCGGTTACGGAAAATGAGTGAATGAATGGTGGATCAGGTACATGTAAAATTAAACTTCAACTGTTGATCACTCCACAACTCCACCAGTTTCTCATGCCTCCCCAAAGTCACCTCCATGTTTACAGCCTTTTGCTGATTGCTGTTTGGTGTTTGGTTCTGGAGAGAGTGCAGCTATTCACTGTTGACAATGTTTACATCATTGAACTTCAGTATTGCCATGAACTAAGACCAAAAACTTACAATAAAATGAAACATGTTTGATTATGTTGGAATTTCAAGCCAAAAAAAGACTAACTTAAGAAAGCTCAGACTGAGTTTCATCACCACTTGACAGTTGAAAATTTGTCTTCAACAGTGAAACTGCCAAAAGTTGTTTAGTATAAGGCTGGCATGAGATGAACAAAATACTTCTGACAGGAGCAGATTTGATAACCAGAATGAGAACTAAAATATCCAGTAGGGGGAGCTCTAAGTTCTTAATAGTATTTATTATTTAACTGTTTCATATAACTCTCATGGGTTGTGTGTAACACTGTATTATTTGGCTACTCACTATCATTGCTTTTGATGGCGTAGACATCAATGGCGGGATCAAACTCTCCAGGCGACAGATGCTTGGTGCTGTCCAGGGTGTTGCTGGGACTGTCAGGGGGCGTTCCAATGCCCCCTCCGTCACTCTCGCCCTCCTCTTCGGCCTCATTGTCCTCGCTCTCCACCTCTTCCTGCTCGGCTCGCTCCACATCGTGGATCCCCACCAGCAGACTGTAGTCCATGAGCTTCAGCTGGGCCAGGAACTGAGGACGATGGTAGGACAGCAGAAGAAATAAAGCAAATGAGGGGATGGGAGTGTTTAAAGAGGAGGACGGAGATAGCCAAGAGTAAAGAGGAGGGGAAAGCTGAAAGAGGTTAAGTATGGGGGTGGGCTTCTTCTGTAATTTTCATGCACACATACCTCCACATCTTTCCTAAGCTTCTCCAGGAACATTTTCTTGTTCTCCCCATCGATGTGGATCTTCTGCCCGTCATTGATGAAGTCATTGTCCTTGTAGGTGGGCAGCTCCTTGGCCTGCCCATTAGTATCAGAGATTAGCAGCCAAATAAACAACAGTCAAAACCACAACACTAGACGGTTCAAACCTGAGAGGCATGGCACTGTAGGAGAGGACCTGGGCAAAAACGTGACAGAATTCTGGTGCTCTAATCAAGTCTCAATATCAAAAAAAGAAGAAATTGACAAAAAGCAGTAACACCAGCATCAGTGTTCTTCATCCTTTTTCCCCAGAATACTTAAAAACATTCAAAATATACAGCTTACATCATCACACGTGACTAAGAGATATCATATAGCTGTCTTATTCACCTACAAGAATCAAGGGGTATTTCAAAATGCATGCGACAAAGATTAACTCTGATCTTAGACATCAGTCGTGTCAATAGCGTGTTTAACTGTATCGGCCTGACAGGACAATCCTGCATGTTAAAATACCCCGCTGAGCCTGTGGTTTGTTAGATAAGCCTGTCTGATTCAGCCAAATACAACACATATTACTGGTAAAAATGAGCTGGCTGACAAAGTACAGGCAGTCTGTACAAACCAAGGCTGACTGTGTTAAACCGTACATGCAGCATGCTCACAGCAGGGTACAGATCCATCTGATGCAGCGATTCGCATATTTCTCATATAGTTTGCAGTGAAATGTATTCACTTCTCGGTGCCGTGAAACACACCCTGTGGCACATTATACAGATGTTTCGACAGCTTTTTAAATGCATCTGGTAGATCTATACTCTTTGTGTCATGAAAAAAAGGACGTCCAAGTCAAAGCCATGACAAATCCTTATTGGCACTGGGCTGGTCTCTGAAAAGCATCTTGTTCTTGGTTTGGTAAAAGAGTATATTCTCCCTGAGACAAATTACACAAGTTTGTCGAAGATGCTTCTCAGAAACCAGACTGTAGTTTGCATTTAATATAAACTCTTTTATAGCTCTGTGAAGCCAGCGTACTGTATCGTTGTGACGGACTCCCACTATTCAGCCTACAAGCAGAATGAAGGAGTTTCCTATTTAAGTGTCGATCTACTGGGATTAAATGACTTCTCAACCAGGTTGCAGTACTGTCAGCAGCCTGTAGGGGGAAGAGGTGTTACGTGAGGAGGGACGGGGGCCTAGTTCTGAGTCACTGAGGAAAAAGAGAGCAGGACATGAGGTAACGGGGCAGCGGCAGCAGCGGTTCAGCTACTACAGTGTTTCTATGGCAGCAGGAGAAGAGCAGCAACACAACAGCACTTTGTAGCACTAGAATGAGCTTGGACAGCACACACTGACACACATACACATACAGGTTACACCTTTACACAGATGGAGACAGGAATACATCTCACAGGATAGGACATTTGAGCGCATATACAGTGTACAGACATAGACCTCCAAATTTGCAAGAAATATGGGATATGCAACTTGCTAGACTGAGTTAAGATGCGACATAAAAAGTAAATGAAGACGCAACACAAGGTCGACTGCAAAGAGTGAACATAACCTGAAAGCATTTAACAGGCCTGTCACCTGAACCGACACCTCGACTCTCACATTCATCCATCTTTCTACGCTTTCGTTTTCAACCGTCTTTTATTTCCCTGCCGTACACTCTCAGTCTTTCTATCCGCTTCATTAAGTCTTTCGCTCTCTCCCAGTCACGCATAGGATTCTATCAGAGGGCCTGTTACTGATATTCTCTATTACAATGACAGCAATGAAATGGGTCTGACTCTTGAGTGGTGCACTGCGATGAGGTAGTAAGTAGAAAAACAGAGAGATATATTAGAGGCAGGAAGAAAGGGTGGGTTGCTGATGAGCCTTGTAAAGCTGTGTGACAGGTGAATTTCCCTGCAACCTTAAAAAAATGTATCTCATTTCTTTTCTGTCTTCCGTCAGCTGGTTGGAAAATGGATCGTGGCCTTTGGCAACGTTGATGTCTTGCTGTCGCAGAGGAACAGAGCCTTTCTGTTGGATTTGTGGTATGCCAACCAGGGTTCCTACAGCTTACGGCAAGTTAGATTTTAGACTTTTAAAGACTTTTTTAATGCCACTCAGAATTAAATTTCTGAACTTCCTCGTTGCATTGCTCTGGACCGGTTTCAGCCATGCTGTGAAATCTTGGTTAAATAGCAAATTTTTGCTGAATCTGCACTTCCGCATGCTGTCCAGGGTACAGCAGATCCTCTGCTCTGAGCATTCCGACTGGAACGAAATTTGTGTGTTGTTGTTTCTGATCTGCTGACATTAATGTGAAAGGCATTCGGTTAAATCAGGGGTTGGCAACCTACAATATCAAAAGAGCCATTTTTGACCAAAGATAATCTTAAAAAATCCATCTGGAGCCACAAACATATTGAGCCTAATGAAGGTAACACAGCCTGTTAAATCTGAATTAGCCTGTCAACATTACAAATAGTTCTAAATGAGCCTTCATTAATATGTTTTACCACCAGATGGCACTGGAGTGAACTCTTTATCATTATTTGGAACTTTAACTTTGCAGACTTAGTGGTGAAAGCAAACAAGTCTCTTCCTTTTTTGGATTCAAAATCCATAGCTAGCCTAGCTGGGGAGACTCATAACTACTGTAGCCACTGCTATTGAGATTTGGGAAAATGTTGAGGAAAAGGCGCTGGGCTGAGGATGGTATTTTAGTTGCTGAAAACCCCTTTTTTTGGTGTACAGGCTACACGTTTTTACATTGGATAATATCAGAATTACTTCAGGCCTTAAGCATTGATAAATGAACATTTAAATTTAAACATATGATTTTTTTTTTTTTTTTGTCAAAGTCAAAGGGAGCCACACCAGCAGGTTGCCTACCCCTGGGTTAAAAAAAATAAAATAAAAAAAGGGAAAGTTACCGCTTATTTTGATAACTTTGGTTATTTTACAATGCAACATCAGAAAAAAAAGACATAAAATCCTACTTTCCATGTCTTTGCATCTATACAGCTTTTAAAAGACTGGTTTAAGACATTCTAACACCCCATAAATGCCTTATTTTTAGATTGACGGATTAAATGCCCTTTAAGGCTTTTTAAGGATCTGTCGGAACCCTGGCTGACACTTGATGTTCCTCAACCTTTGTATCTAGTAGATACCGATGTTAGACGCATATGAACATCCACCAGCAGGTTTTACATCAGTGACATGCAGTAAATGATGAGCAGATTTTGTCTGAACTGTTTATCATCAACAGTCACTGTGTGTTAAAACTTCATGTGGAATCGTCATTTCAAATCAGCAGGTTCATATCAACGACATGCATTGTGAATCAAGCACTTCATGTGTTTATTACACGTGAACACACAGTATAAGCTGTGTTTATCATCTGATGCACAATCAGCTGTTGTGGCTGTGTATGAGGACAACGTGCTCTTGACAGCAAAACAGTTTTGGAGTATGTAAGCTGGGCATAAAGAATAATAACAACGTCCTTCAAACAGTTTGCTGGACTATCTTTTGGAAAATAACAGGCAATGTTCCCCCAAACTAGAAACAAACTGAGAAGGGAGACACAGGTAACTGCCAAACTCACTCAAGGATGCCAACAATACTGACTCATAAAACGCTTTTTGTCTCAGGGGGCTGTGGATATTTAATAAACTGACCAGTCACACTGCCTTTGGTGTGATTACCTGTGAACACCGTAGCCTTATGAAAACAAAAATAAACAGAATAACACCTAACAAACCTGACTCATCTCTTAAACTAGCTGCTGTATCAACTAACGTCGCAAAGCACCAGCTTATCTACTGCTTAATATGTTTTATGCAACAAAACAAAGTGTTGTGGCTGCAGTGGTGTGCAGAGAGCCGGGACATCTTATCTGCACTCTCTTATCTTTGGATGGCTTCTCTTAATCACAAGCTATATTACATCCTTCCTTTAACTTGTCAGAAAGTTCGTCACCGATTTAGAAGACAAATTAAAATGTGCGCTGTTTTATTCGCTGCTGTTAGTGCACACGGGTCGGTTAATATCATTTTGTGCTGCAGAACACACTAGAATTTTGTGTAACTCACTAGTTTCAGTTTTAAACTTTCTTCCAGAAATGTCATAAGTATCACTTTCTCTTCCCATCGCTGGTTCCTGAATTTTATTTTGACCACGCAGTGCGCTTCCCATTCATGCCGCCACCGTACTCCTCCACTCCTTGCTCTCCAGTGTTTCAGATACATGTCAGTGCGGTTGGGTGAATGGTGGTGACAAAAAACAAACTGGCTGGCAAAACTAAAAAACTTGCTGACAAGTTGAGCAAAAGGTGACTGTCAATGGATGAGAAGTGTGCAAAATATGGCCCTTGAATAACAGTGTGTCAACTTGGAGAAGGCGAGGAAACAAAAATGCTCGGCCGTACAAAAAAAACAAACAAACAAACAAAAAAAAAAAAAAACAGTAAAATAAGATTGGTTTAATAGATCATGCCTGGTATATGAGCCCTGGTTCTCTTACATCTCTTACGTGTTTCATGGCGCAGTAAAAGCGCGTGGCAATCCGCAGTGTTTGCAGCCTTTGCTGAACGTTACCAGATTTGGGCCGCGGGGGCACATCCTCTGGTTGGGGCGGCTGCTAGAAGAGGGGGGAGCGAGGGGAGGGACGGTGGGGGTGGAGGAGAGGAGAGAAGAAAGGAGAGAGGAAGGGAGGAAGGAAGTTGGAAGTAAAGGCAAAGTGTTTAAAATGTAACAGAACACAACTGTTTTGTCAAATTGGTGGAGGGTTGGAAAGGGCATGAGCGCGAAAATTCCGTCTGAAGTTAATTAAGAGTCTTGAATGTCTTTACAGTATATCAACAGTGTCCAACAGCTTCATCCAATGACGGAGTAAATAAGCAATAATCTTTGCAGTTACACTACTTCCATGCTCTTATTTTCAGTAATCAATAGGCTTTTATTTATATTTAATGTATGCATGACTCTGGAATGCCTACAATAGCATTATGACTGTTTCCTGGCATAAACGCCTGGTCGAGAATGGAAGCAGCCTGCAGCGCTACTCTAAGGAGGTGGAGGAGCTGGAACTGCGAAGAGCAAGGACACAACTGTGAGCTCATTTGCATTCTATAAACCTATATTCTGCCAAACATCCATTCAGATATGGTGCTAAATGTCTAAGGGCTTACTGTAAACTGGATGAGAGGCTATACAAACAGAATATCAATGCAGTTCACACTCAGTCATACCGACACATTAAAGCCATGTGCCCTCACAGGAGATACCAGCCGGTGCCAGTGTGAGGAGAGAGAGGAGAGTAAACAAAAACAACAAACAACTGTAGCAAATAGCAACTGAGCGGAGACCGAGTGGAGACAGGCTGCATTACACAAACCAAGGACCAGTAGCTATCTGATAACGTACAGAAAAAAACCCCTCTATACTTTCCAGGTCACATAACAAATACTGCGATCACACGAATGACCTACACAAGTGTTTGCTAAATTGTGGGTTAGTCTTATAAATGGGTCATGGACAGGTTTGTAGTATGGTTTCAGGGGCCGAAGTAAAACCAGATGTACCTAGCTTGGGTTCTAGTTAAGATATTTTGAGACTAAGGCGTAAACCCACTGATCATCTGCTTGATCAAATGTAAATAAAATGTGTCACAAAGCCAATTGCTGCTGTTTGACAGCCCAAACCCCGAGACAGCAGCTACTAAGAACCGCAAAATGTACTTAATGAAAAGAAAAATACATGTCATACATGGGTAAAACAGAACATGTCCACAATGTGCAACAGAATGAAGCTGGTGTTCATACACATCGAAAATGTGTTAGAAATAATGTAACTTCAAAAAAGATGCAGAGAAAACATTATATACCATGCAGACGCATGCATGAAAGGGAGACGGTCATGCAGTCAGGAGAGAACCCTGCCGTGCTTGTTGTTTGTGTGTGTGGAGCAATTATTTTACACACACACACACACCCCTTCTGAACAAAACTCACGATTTTTCCTTTCACTTGGCAAGATGCACCCTCATCATTTCACTGGCCAACTGAAGTGTGTGTGAGTGTTCACACTACTGTAATGTTCACATAATGGACTTTAACTACAGAGGAATTATTTGAAGGAAAGGAAGAACATTTAATTATAGATGAGCACTTGCAATAGGTAGCTGCTGGTTAATTTAAGCAAGTCTGTGAGTGTGTGTATCGTGAAGAGGTGTTTTTGTGTGCAGAAATGACCAGCATGCCTCTTCTTAGAAGCGTGTCTTTGATGTCTGAGCTTTAGTTGTGTCTCTGAGACCTGTCGTAGGTTGGGTGTGAATGTGTGTGCCTATGTGTGTGACCATATATTGTATACTGCATTCTGCATGAGAGCAGAAACTGTGAAATGCTTCATTTAAGGTGGTAATTACTGCACAATGCTTACTGTAATAGCTGCATTTCACTGACAGTGAAACTAGCAGAGAACTTTCCACAAAGCAGCAGCAACAACTTGTGATAATTTGTGAGTTAAGACTCAGGAAAATAACATCTCCGTGCAAAAATGTATCCTGTTGCCTCTCGGCTGCTCGACTGTAAATGGTGTTTCACACGCAGCCGAGCCGAAGACAAAAAGAGGTCACACAGGAACCTCACGTGTGCTTTAAATCCTCAGCTGCTTTGTTTTTCCATCCATCTGTTTTAACCCCAATAGTGTTTTGTTTCTTCTTCCATTTACAGTGGGCTATATTTAGTTTGGGGATTCCCTGAAGTCTTCCATGCCTCGCTGCACGGTGCCCCAAGTTTAAGCCCCCGTAAAACCCGGTGGAAAGTTCAAACCCCTCTGGGTCAAAACTGTGACGTTCTCATATAAAAACCTGTTTCACGGTCGGACAAACCTTTGCAGAGCAACGTGTGGAGACATGCAATGAAAAACAAAACCCTTTGGACGACCATCCCCTTCAATACTGCTGAGCTGACAGGTCAAACGAACAGTGGTCCAAAGGTTAAAGTGTTCAAGGACGCTGTCGGTTACTTCCATCACTCAAAAGGTCAAAGCCTTTAACTATAAAAAAATACATTGTTTATATCTGGTAAAATATCCACTCTAATTGTAAGCTAAACAATTTTAACAGGAGGCACCGTGAACCACCAGGTCCTTCACAATTTCAGTGACACAGTTCATCTTTGACAGGTGACTGTCCAAGCAGCCAGAAGCAGAAAACTTAAAACAGCCAGTCTCACACAAACAGCAACGTTTACATCACTATCAATCACACAGAAGCTCATGAACACTGCTCACACACACACTCAGGGAGATACGCAGCTACACAGAAAACATATAATACGCAGGACTTCTCAAAAACCATGAGACATCTGATTGAATAAAACTCTGAACCCAACACATACCCAAACGCACACACAGACGCACAGCTGTCAGTCTTTCACACACAGACAGCAGGCAGGGGAACTGATGGAACAGCAGAAGCGAGGTTAGAGGGGATGAAGCAAATTAAAGAGACACAAATAGCGTGCAGGGGCTAGAAAGGGAATGGGGTGATGAAGTAGGTGCTAACTGAGGGAGATGGAGATTTGCTACTGTCATCCCCACCCAAAGGGAAACAAAAGCAGACACCAAATTTGTGTTAGTCGGGCCATTTGGGTGATGACAGTGAGCCTGGAATTGTTTGAAGCTGTGTCGGTTATTGAAACAGCTGGAAACACAGTTTGTTCTCTCTCTCGTTCTCTAATTGTCCACATGGCTTTTAATGGACATGGCGTTCTATCAGAATAACAGACTCAATGACATTAGTGTTTAAATTACTTGAAAGACAGGCAATTCATCTTAAAGTTCCAGAGTTTCTTAACACTTTTTAACCGCCCTCGTTCCTTACAAGAAAAATTACAGCAGAATCGAGACGTCAGCGATGCGCGAGTGCTGTAGAAGTGTCCATCTGTTCAATCCGCTACGACCTCCGCTGTCATCAGAACCAGCTGTTCTTTCAGCAGTGCACCTTCTGATGTGCTGAAAGGACAGCGGTCAGTTCAATGGACGAAAATAGATCGAGTAAGCAACGTGAAAAGTGATAGGAGAAGAAAACTAAAGTTCACTTGTTTTATTTCCTCCACAAAATATAGAAGGCGGGAGATTGCTTCACTCAGTATACAAAAAGAGGACGAAGAAAGAAAAGACTTAGACGATAAAAAAGTGGTTTGCGTATTGACATGCAACAACGTAGGGCTGATGTGGTTAAACTTGTAGCGCATCAATTCCGAGAGGCAGACGAGGGACGAATGCTCCACGCTGGCGGTGTGGATTGTTTCACTTCTTTTGATGTTTTTCTTTTACATGTTTCTAACTGTTGCTGTGCTAGTTTGATGCATTTGATTACTTTGATCTCAATCTGTAGCACGCTGAGTATATATATTATTACTATTATGATTATTGTAAAGCACACAGTAAAAGTTAAGAGGTCCAGCCTCTTCTGAAGCTGAAAGTTGTGTGAGTATGTATAACAGCGGATCTTGGCTTGCGACAGGTGACTGTACCTTCTCCTTGTCGCTCGCCTCTCTTGCCACAGTGGAACCCTAGAAACAAAAGAAAGGAAATTACTCACCGTAACCTGATTGTTACTTGAAGCAGTGGAAAGTGTTGCCTTAGTCTTTCCGTCACAACCCTGCTTATAGTCATTCTTGCAGATAATCATAACCCTTGTGCATGTCCGAACACAGAAGCTCACCCTATTAGGCGTGCGAGGCCCACTGGCTTAAAATGGATTAAAACTGTGTCACTCGGGTTACCTGATGCTCTCAGCCCTGTTTTTAAACACCTACTGCCCATTGGATGAACCCTGATTGACTAACTTTGGGTATATTTACAAATGAGCATTTAGAGGTTTAATTGTGCATGAGCTACAAAATATTTGAACTACAAACAGGCCCATCTCAGGGAAAAAAACATAAAACTATTCCATAAACATTTGTGTGATTCGTGCACCAAAAGCTGAGATAATCAGTGAAAAAATAAGTGGCAACAAGGGATTACTATACATTAGATTTACATAATTTTATGTAATACTCATGCCCTTTCAGTTCCTTGCTTCCCTTTTTTTCCCCTAATCCGCTCCCCCCCTCCTACCTTGAGATCATATTTTTTGTAGACAGAAAGGCGGTGAGAGAAGACATTGCGTGTAACAACCATGTAGGTCTCATCTCCATCCACGGTGAGCCGGTAAATCCCCAGAAACTGAGGCAGCAGCGTGTTGCCATGGCACTCCACAATGAACTACCGAAAGAAAGGGAGAAATATGAATTCATGGCCCAGACTGATACTGAGAAAAAACTGTTTTATGAAGCACAGTATGATCCCTTTATGACTTGTGATGAATGGACAACAGGGCTCTGACAAACTGCAACAGCTGTCCTGGAGAATTGTATGGATCTGTACGCTGACACTTAAAAATTTATTGACCAGTCCGAAATTAATAGGTAGAGACAGAGTTGTAAAACTGCATCATTGATGTTGACGCACCGGATAAAAAGTCCTTGACTTATGCTTGCTGTTACCTGTGTGCCAGTTTGTAATGCAGGTAGACAACAGGTATTTTGGCTCTACCAACACACAGCCTATTTGATGGAAGAGTCAAAGCTTGCATTTCTATACATTAATGTAAGATAAGCTGTTCTCACCTGATGATATTTCTTTAGGATGTTATGCATCTCTGCCACATCCTCGCTGCTGATGGTCTTGATGACATAGCGTTTGTCATAAGAGGTATGGAAACGGGCCCCGCTCCGTCCCTGGGCCTCGCTGTTCAAGGGAGCGCTGCGTGTCAGAGAGTTCTGAAAACACACAGGGCAAAGACAGAAAGGAAAAATAATGACAGTGTTTTTCAGGATGTACACACTGAGATACGATCAGCTGTCACCTTTTCACAACCCTTGCATGTACATTATTTGCACTGTATTCAGAGAGCCAAGATAATGTACCTGTTGACTGTATTTTATTTTTATTTTTTGAATGGTCTGTCCCACTACATACCGAAAACACTTTCTGAAAAGTACCTATTTAACTATGACTAAGTTATGTTTAAATAGCTGCTGGTCAAAATCCTCAAAGTCCTCAGATGGTTGAATGGTTCAAATAGCAGTTCTTGTAGTTTACTGGGATGAATGGATCCCACAATCAACATTTCCCGCCTGTACCGTCTTGTTGTCCGACCACCTCTCACTCTTCAGTCTAAACATGTGGGGCTCTGACCCCTACGCCTGCTCCGTGTCCAAACCTAGACACAGACACAAACAGCTGCTGCCCAGACTTTGGAGCTCAAAAGTAACATGATCCAACACCCCTGGCTCAATGCCTCATTCTCCAAGAATTTCTCATGTCTTCTGCCCTCAGTTCACTCTCCCTTCTTCAAGTCAGAGCATCTATTGCTTGTACTGCAAACTGAGGAGTAGCATATAAGGTGCTAAAACAACTGTTAGGCAGTCTTTCTATTTAGTCTTTCTAAAACTGATTGCAGTTTTTTTTTCTTGAAGTGCCGAAAAACCATGAACACTTAGAGGCCTACTTAAAGCCCAGGTCTTGGTGTAGCACTGAAGTGGTTTGTGTCACAGGCTGAAAATGTTAAAGAGGCCCTTTGCCTGAGGCTGGCATAGATGAAAAGCTCTCAAAGTGAGACTCTAATGTTTTTGCTTTAGTTGGTCATTTTCTCCAGCAGGCATTTATCACAATGTGAGGAGAGAGGTTAATCTGTTTGCACTTCAGTTTCCCTCCAAAAACTTAATTTAATACTGCAAGCATTGCTCATTAAAACTAATGGTTACTGTGCATGTCATCAAAAGGGCCTGCAGCTGGAGGTACCCGTTGGCTGTAATGAGTAATATTACTGATGTAATTAGAAATAAAGCCAAGAGGCTTTTAGAGAAAAAAAAAATACGAACCAATAAACCTTCTGACCACAATGTGACTAGAGCCTCGTGTAGGCAAGTAGTTTAATTTTGAGAATGTAACAACATTCCTTTGCAGTGGCCGGTGTCTTAACACCCCCAACTGCCCACTCACTGCAGCCAGCCGAACCCTAATGTAAACATGTGAGAAGGACAGCTGCACTGAGCTGGGACACAACGACCTCCAAATACTGCCAACTCATTGCCTGCGCTGGGAATGGGGATTTACTGGGGAAGAGTGGAAAATAAAGGAAGTCAAGGCTGGAACAAAAGAGGGAAAGGAAAAAGCGCAACAATTTACTAGTTAAGACGGTGGTCAAATTGGTTTTAAAATGTCTGCAAGTGTTTCAGTGAGCTTGTGGCACAATTTTACATTGAATAGATACACAAGGTTAAGATCCATTTAATGGTACTGTAGTACCTGTAAAATCAGACTGTCTACAGTAGCTGGCACTCTCTCATGAGGCAGTTTACACTAATGTTGTGCTACGAAGACAACCAAAGAAACTCCCTATCTGACCCAGAAGTGGTGGTAATGTTGTCAGGATTCATACCAAGAAGTCCTGATCATCAATGCCAAACCTCTCCCGGAGGTTTCGAAACACCAGAGGGCAGTACTCCTTGAACTTGAAATGGCTGGGCATATTCTCCCTGTGTGCATGGAAGAAAAAAAATCAGGGAACAGAAGAACAGCATTTGTGAAATACAACAATTAGGCTATAAAATAAACCTAAGAAGACTTACTTATTGAAGAGGTGGTTGTCCACTTTGATCTTAGAATAGGCCTTGAAGTCATCTGGCATGAGCATGATGGGAATCTGAACATGGCTTAACTCGTTTATCTGGGGAAACAGAGAAAAAAAAAACATACGATTGAAGGGGAGACCTGTGATGTATCTAGTAACACAAAGCAGTGTTAAATCACATGCCACCATCAGAAATGTCAGAAGTTACGAATTGAAGCCTTGGGATACTAACAGGGAAAATGTGGGCCTCACAAGGAGGAAGAGGCAAAACAAAGACAAAGATCATCGATCAATACCACTGATAAACATAATGTAGTGATCAGTGGGATCAACAATGAAAGGATTCACTGGAAATACAGTGGCAAAGCCTGAAAGAAAAAAAGTCACCACAGGAATCCCGCAGATATTCAATTGTGTGCTAGCTGCCTGCTTCACACCTCAACTCGTGTAACATTTTAATGATGCAATATTATCCAGCCCGAACAGGAGCATTCCTCAACAGACTGACACAAAGATCGTCAGTCACGTAACTTCACATGGATGCTCACATGACTACATTTTGCCTCTGAACAGACATTCAGTGTAAGAGAATGCACACATGTACACACACGCAGGATTGTTCTTGCACAGAGGAATTCCTGGCACCCCCAATTAGGTTTTAGCCAGCGCCAAAGAAAAATCACCAGCGCCAAAATGATAAGAATTGAAAACAAAAATAGCAATTTAAATCCTCTCTAAATGTGTTTAATAGCAATTTATCAAATAACTGTTATACAAGCAGAATAGAAACTTAAATGTGACGTCTTTATCTTCCAGCAATTAACTCCCCTCCCTTTTGGGAAAGAGGGCTTCCTGTGATTTCTCATGAAATAAAATCTGTTCAATTTCTGGTAAAAATTCTTAAAGAATGCTGAGTATCAACCGCAGCCTATTTTCTGTGTCATGTCCTGTCTCTTGCACCCTTTTCCTAAACCAAATGGAGTATTTCTAGTGGGTGAGAATGTGTCTGGCATGACAATCTCCTGTTGTGTGCTACATGTGAAAGGGCAACTCAAGAAAATTTCGGACCACTGTCTTCTGAGCCCTCACCCCTCTCCCTTAAGCTCACTCCCCTCCTCTCCTTCCAATGTTGTAATCATTTTTTAATCACTTTTGTTCACTGGGTTTTATTTACTTATGCATAACAGATATTTTTGTTTATCAACTACTTTAAAAACTAAAGGAAAAAGCATCGACCTCTGTCAAATAAGGCAACACAGACTCATTGCCTTTACTGTACGCGTACTGATGATGCTATTGTGTGTAGTCACCCCTCAAAGGCCCACTATGAGCCAGGAAAAAGGCCTGCACATGTATTTGGTTCTGGTATTGGCAAAAGGATGAAACAGTTGGCTCAGACACCAGTCAGTGTTTGTTCATCTTTACCACCTTGCTGCACAAACTAATCCTTGCGCACCACCTCAGATAACTGAGTGAAATGTGGCATATCGTAGGACACAACAAAAAAGGAACCATAACAGGCATAATGATGAACCAAGAAGTTTTTTCCCAAATCAAAGCCGCCTGATGACAAGTTATTAGAGCTAATCAATGATTCAGGCAAAGAACCTGGTCCGGGTCATCAAATCAATACCGATCTTCGTCACCTAGTGATGTGAGTAGTTTACTGATTAGATTTTCCAGGATGATGTAGCCTGCATGGTTGGAGGGCAGATGAAGGGGAAAGGCGAGTGGAAATGTTGGCAGAGCTGCTGAAGCTCAAGGTGTTTTCGACGTATAGATAAAGACCAAGATGACAAGATGAAGACTTTCAGGTCAGAGAGGAATAAGAGAGAAAGTGAGAGAGAGAAAGAGAGGACATGTATGTATGAGTGAAAGGATGGATGTGCGGCTCCTGCAGGAGAGATAATCTTAATATCCTGCGGTCTGTGATGCACTGCTATTTTCTAATCTCCTAGTTTGAGTGTGTTCACGATTCAAGAGCAGATAATCACTTTCTATTCTATGTGTGATGACATTTCTCTTTAGTGCATTTCTCTCTTTATGTGCATTTTTTAAACCAGTTGGTGAGTCTCGCATTATTAAAATGGAGCATTTATCTTTTCAATGCTCACATTTTAGTATCTAGAACAATTACGGTAATGTCACTGAAGTTTCCTTTGTGTTTCAGGAGTGGTTATGTTTTTAGAGTATCATGTCAGATCTGAGTCTGATGTGAGAAAATACATAAACCACACATGCGGACTATCAGGTGAGTTAGACCATTAACACTTGATTAAATGACTTACATCTGTGTAACTGTTTGCACACTTCTGGCCATGATAGCCATCCAACAAAACGCTAAATTACAGAGCACTTCAATAGACCACACTGAATAAACAGCGGGGTGTCTAACACATAAGGTACATTGCAGGGGTTTCCATTTGGAGCTGGTCACGCATGACATTGCTGTAATATGTAGACCTGACATTTGTTATGACTCACAACCAGCTAGATACAAATATGATGTGTGTGTGTGTGTGTGTGTGTGTGCTTGTGTATTCATTGTTGGCTGCAGGCAGGAGCGCTGGCAGGTTGCTTGAATCTATTAATAACCTGTCATTCCACCAGGCACACTTGTCATGTAGGTGCACTGAATAAACTCAAACGCTCGAAACTTTGATTGACTATAACGTTAATCACGAAACATGTGTGCATGTGTTTGTCCACAGTACAGTCCCAATTGTACTTTCAGCTTTACACACTACTCACAGCTAGTATTTGGGCAGAGAGACAAGATGTGGTGTCAAATCACAATTCCAGCAGCTGCATTAGAGGAGCTAGCCAATATTTTTTTACCATTGCGGATTTACTATGGCCCTGTAATACTGCAGGGGTATTACAGCAGATGGTGCAGAGAATGGCCTCAGCATGACTGGCTGACCCATGAAAGCATTTGGCTTACTTCAGGTGGCCATTAAGAAGTGTGCTTTTGAGGACAGAATGCCTTGAAATGGTTGTGATTGAACTGCTCACGATTTTGTTTCTGACAAATATGAACACACTGCATGGTTAAGGCTTTGAATTGTATGATTACAGCTAGCACATGCCAACCAACTAATTGTGATTAACTGGCTGACACTGGAAGAGAGCCTACTTGACCAAGTGGCAGCTCAAATTAAGGTATTCCTGTCACCAAATTTCTGCATTTAAAAGTAGACTTTTCACAGTAAGAGGTACCAAAACGTCTCGAAGACACTGACTTACAAGATAATTGCCCAATCGGAGCTCCAGGAGCAAGTTTCCCAAAAAGCCTCTGGTCTAAACACTCTCTCTAAACTCAATCTATGCCTGTCTACTTTGCCAATGGCCCACTCTTATGATTGATGCAATTTTTGGGATCACGTAGACGAGATGGCACTCAGGATGTTGACGGCAGTAGAGACAGCAGCACAAATACGGCAGAACAAACAACTTGCATAGTCTTTTTTTACCCCAGTTGTGTATATAACAGTGTCCTCGATGATAATAATACAAGTCCTGTAATGCAGGTACTGTTTGTTGGCAGCTGAGCAAAGTAGATTAAACTGGCTCACTTTTAAAAGCATAAACAATTTAACACACTCTATGTCCAAGACAGGAGCTGGCAGCAACTAGCCAGTATGTTGGCAAAAGCAGTTGGCTAAAAATTTCCTATCCAACAAACTTAAAATATACCAGACTAACCCACTGGAAAAGCTGTAAGGCGTGAAGCTTGCACTTACAGAATTGTTTTAATTTGTCTGTTATGAGAACTCATCACATTTTAATGCTGAAGTCTGCAAAAGCATATCCAGTGATGTGCAAAGCTCTACCTTTGTACACTATGCCAACTACTTCACAATTTAACCAGCTCAGAAAACATGCACAAATTGAGCACAGTAGCGTTTCAAGAACAAGGCTGTTCAGCCCACTTTGCGTACAGCACTTTGATGTCGTCTTGGTACAGGTGAGAGTTAACAATTCAAAGTGAATATCTCTGCATTTGCAATATCCTCGAGGATTATAGTGAGCTTTTTAGGCAATTTAAAATAAAAGAGAAAAGGCATGAAAACATGGAATTAGTGTATATCGTTAACAGAAGATCATTTAACAACAGGAGAGACTTTTTAGGAAGGAAAGAACAGGAAAGCATGAGAAAAAATAAACATGGAAAGGAGGGCATTAGAGAGACAGAACAAGCAGGGGATCCAAGTCCACAGATGCCATATCCGAGTATGTTTCAGTGCCCTGGTGTGACAAGCACCAAGTGATGATACAGCACAGATGCATCCTGGGTACTCAGAGGGGAGATGTCGCCTAATCAACAAAGCTGTGTTTCACACAAGGGCAGAGACAATGCCTTATCTTACCAAGAAGCGTTCACAGACGACATATGCGAGGAAACTAGTGCACATATGCATGCACGCATAAATATAGGGTAAAATATCTGTAGATAAAGAGGTATAAATGGTTCCCTCGAGTAGGCCCAGAAAAAAATGTGCATCAGTTTGAAAGATCCCCATATCTCCACTCCACTCTCTGCAAGATGTTCTCTTCTTGAAATTTAATTTACGCTACCCTATAAAACTGTAAACAAAGCATGAGTCAATGACTACAGTAAGCTATTTTCACAAATCATGCTTTTGACAGTCACTATCATTTACCATTTCTTTGCAGGTGCCTGCATGAAGGTATGACTAATTGAGTACATAAACCTGACCGCACTTTACCTGATCAACATTAAGTAATATGTGTAGTACTCCTATTTCATCTGCAAGGCTCAGAATATCTGTCTTGAGCAAAGTGTGGGCCTTGTGTTTTGTTAAATCAGATACCTCCAGCATATCTGCCTATCTTTCTGCAGCTATCAAACTTGCAGACAAATTTCACACCACCACTTCCTGTTTGTCTCCATGGTGATAAAGACTGGTTTTCCGGCCCAGAGTGAAGCAAGTGTGTGCTGTTGCTCCATTGGACAGGAAGTTAGTGAAGAGAGTGTGCTCAGTCAGCAGCATGGCAGGGTCTTATCTCTCTGAACAATGACAGATAGATGACTCGGTCTTAGCAGATGACAGGCTAATGAAAGTGTTGAAAGC